ATACAAACAATCATTTGTGCCTTCCTCTTTGAATGAGCTGCAATTATTTCATATTCCGTAAAGTTTCTCAGCAAAGAACATTTGGAACAATGTTTTGGGCATCGATATCATTCTCGTTTTTATGTCAAGTTGATGTTAAAGTGCGATGTTCAGATATTTCAGTTGTTCCTTAACGTCCATTTCTTTTGTCGGTTGCATCCAATTTTGTTAATTTCTGAGATGAGCTGGGAAAAGGCATTTCAGTGAGCTGATAAGCTGACTTTTAATGAAACTCCTCCAAATTTGTGAAAAAGTGTTTTATAATGAATGGTTTTTGCTGAAGTTACTTTGTATTATTCAATGACAACATTGATAATGATTTTAAAAAGAAGCTTTGGCAGTGAAATCAAAATCGTCGAAATTTGATAAAATTATGCGCGCATCCGAAGTCAGTTTCAATAAGTTCTCAATCACAAAACATTCTGTGCTGCATTTTTTCTATTTTTCTTGCATTCTGATGCAAAAAAATTCCTTTTCTTCGCATCTTGCACAGAAAATCTTGCATTTCGATGCTACTGGAAGTTGTGTGAANGATCGGATCAATTCAAAACGCACATTTCAGGAAGAAGTATCGTATTACAACAAAGAAAGTATTTCAATCAAGAATGAAGCAGAAGTTACGATGTTAGTCTATCCTTTATCCGTAGTTTATCCTTTATTCATTAACTCTGTACATTTAATAGTCCTATAAAATCGCCCAAATTTTCGTTTCAACAACTTGACCTGCCATGTCTATTTTTTAAGTTGCACCGACGCTTGTTTCATGCTGTCAGTACTGACGAAATCTGCTGTTGAGTGCATTGATTAATAGTGATTAATTTTTCAAAATTATCGCTCGCTTCTCAACTCTACAGACCTGTCATAAACTTCTGTAACGTTCAGTTCATAGACAGCTGAAGAGTGAATTCTAAAATAAGGTAACAGAAGTTTAATTGGATTACAAAATTGTATTTTGCAGAATTTCAACGAATTTGGATAAAGTATCACTCGATTCAGTTCAACCTCGACGTGCTGAAACGATCAAAGTTAGGTGAGGTGTACGTGATATTGGTACTGAGGCTTATGCTTATTAGTCTCAATAAGATTATGAACGAATGAGNGAGAGTTGATGAAGGAGTCATCTGAGTAGCGATTTCTTTGGTAGTATGTTGTCAGAATGAACTAAGCAATGACTAATTCAGCATTCAAAATCGTGACAATCAGCAAGCATTATCACCGTCGATAGCCGAACGTCGTCTCGAAAAGAATGCCAATGCAACGCTACCAGCTCCTCTCAGAACGGATGCTGTTGCACCTGTGAGCGTTTCTATTGACTATCAATGAACATCCCTCTAAACTTCATTCCATTTCAAAATTTCATTGATGAAGAAGCATTCAATATGTTTTTGCATCTTCCGCAATCAAAAAATCGGCCAGAACCGTTAAATTAAGAAAACAAAATTTTCGCTTTTGATGTTGTTGAGAATCATTTTTGCAGACATCATCAACTTCAGTACCCAGCCCACCAGCTCCTCGTAAAGTCCGTCCGATCAGTGTACCGAGGTGAGAAATATTTTAGAAATTGCATTAATTCTTCCACATTGTCAACACACGAACGAAATTGAACTAAATTTCATTGTAGATTCTATTTTCCGAAAGGGAAACCGATTTCAATGGCCGAAAATGAGGCGTCGTTAAGGAGAGCGAGCGATGTTTTCAGCAGATTTAGTGGGAAGGTTTGTGTTCCGATTCGAATCAATTTATTGCATGTTCGGTTTGTAGACGACGAAGTTGTGTAAGTAAG